ATAAATTAAATTTGAAATACGTCATTGTTTTGCCCATTGCTCTTATAGAAATGATTGCAAGCTATTTTTCACATAGAAGCCGGTGTTTCGAATTCCGAGGAACAACAAATATCCATAAATGCCTCCTCATACGTCACAACATTAGCATATGACATGGAAAAACCTTCATAACTACAAGAAGCTGCACTCAAGCTATGAATTTTTTCAGCTTATACGACATCTTACTCATGTAGAATCAATACTGTAAATATTGTCAGAAGGGTGATAGGCACTTTAAGCGCTCCAAATATGGCTTAACTGATTCTAGAAACTTAGATGGCGGAACGGATAACATATATAATCGGAATATGATTGTAACAACTTTTCAAAGAAACATAAGTTCGTCAATTGAATAATTACATAAAAAAAGAATTAGGGTAGATTTACATAGTGAATGGAACTTTGCATAAAACTGCCTCAAGGCAGAAACAAAAGAAAAGGCATGCAGCGATCATTCCCGGGAAACAAGGGGTAAAGTTCTGTTTCTCACTTATTGGTCAACCAATTAGGATATTAATTCGCACTTGTGGACAAAGATCTAACAGACTTCGTGCCTAGGGATATTTTTTTCTTGGAGAGAGAAAGAATACTAAATGTAAATAAAACTGAACAAAGATCAACAACAACGAGTCATAATACTGACAAGAACAAAGCTCTATCTGAATTGTCGGTGTTGGGCCAGTTTTACTTTCCTTGGATTACATGTTTTGTAGTCGCAAAGGAAAAGTAAATCTTACACAGGTAGAAGCTTCGCTTACGCAGAGGTATTTGAGATCAGTATTTAAATTCATAGTATATTTTACTTTTTTTGACGTTTCTGGGTATAGTGCAATGATATAACTTACAATAGTCAATATTCTAATATTGGTCTGTCACATATCAATGCTGTGTTATGATTGGATGAGCTACTAAATAAGAGGCTATAAGTTATAGCCAACTTGTGGCGAAAAGTGCCAGCTTTGAAAATCAAAACTTTAAATTTAATTAATTTAAAACTTGTTTAGCAAAGGTTTCGAAATAAATTGAATTTTGTAATTTTTGATTTTCTTCTATATATCTTACCGACTAGTTGGATTTGATTAAGATAATTAGTCATTTGCCTTTATGACCTATGAGTCAATAGCCCATTCCAGCTCGAGGATTAATTACATTAACGCCGGTTTAGACGGTACGATTTTCGCCTACAACTATCGTATACAACACGCTCGCGCCATCCTGCAAATCGAGTCGCAGCGTGTAAATCAAGCCTACAACTCGCCTACGACAGACGCGAGCGTGTTGTATACGATAGTTGTAGGCGAAAATCGTACCGTCTAAACCGGCCTTTACTAAATCGTTAACGTATGGGAGAGTAAGTCTACGTTTCCATAAACAAGCCTTCATGCAGTTCATCCAGCTGCGGGCTCAAAAAACGAAACTAAACAATATCCGACCGCAGACTAAAATGTATCAGCAGCTTACAGCTATGATGTTAGAATYCCTACACAATAAAAAGTATTAAGAGTATAAAAAAGATGTCCATAAAACAATGTACTTAGACTAGTTTTGAAAGCTGAGAAAGGTTCCCTGTTATGTCGGTAGTCTGTCTGGGTCGCACAAGTTTTCAGTTACTATTGATTGTGCTACCTGTCACCTGTCACAATGACTTAAAAAAAGATAAATTCATTTTATTTACTTTTTCAAGGGTGCTGAGTTTGACAATGAGCTATTTGTATGGTTTAATTAAGACCTATAATTCATTTTGAATTTGTCTTATGCATTATGACTTTGACTTTTATGCATTTTTAGCGGTTTTTTTTTTTTTTTTTTTTTTTTTTTTTTTTTTTTTTTTTTTTTTGGTCGATATATTTTTAGTCACCGCGATAAATGCAGGGTGTGATACAATTTCAAACTTATTGGCTTCAAGAGTTCAGAAGGTCTACACTTCACGACTTGAAGATGCTCCAGAACATGACACGTTTTGCTATCGTTCTTCTTCTCTCTTGGCATGTCTTCGTGGTTAACGCGA